GTCAGAATGTTATATTGTCTAGTCTGCAGTGGGGTACTCAGTAGTGAGTACAGCCCTGTTAGGATTTTGTATTTGTATCCCTACGGCCTGCTAGTGCAACCCCTCTTCTGCTGTTCCTATTCCTGCTCGTTAGTTCTTGATATGGTATCAGAGCTCGTTCGATCCTGGCCTGTGGGCCCACCCTATGCTTCCGCTGCTGTCCTGCCTATCGCGCGCCCCGGGCGCGCGACGTTTTCTGCCTGCCGCGGTTTTCTGCTCGGCGCGTCGCCCCACCTGACCCGCGCCCCGCCCCGTGGGACCCGCGCGCCGCTTCCGCTGGACCCGCGCGACGCCCTGCGGGACCCGCGCGCTGCCTCGCTGGACCCGCGCGACGCCCTGCGGGACCCGCGCGCCGCCCTCTGCTGGAACTGCGCAACGCCCTGCGGGGCCCGCGTGCTGCCCCGCTGGACCCGCGCGATGCCCTGCGGGAACCGTGCGCCGCCCCTGCTGGACCCGCGCGCTGCCCCGCTGGACCCGCGTGCCGCCCCTGGGGACCCGCGCGCCGCCCCTCCTGGACCCGGCAGCCCGCCCGCGCCCTGCACGTCGCGACGCCGCCCGCCCTCCCCCCCTCCTCCTTCGACTTCCTGTTGCGCGTGCAGCCGTGTGGAGGGTATGGGGGTAAGGGGGTAAGGGGGGGTATGGGGGTGGTGGGAGTGCGTGACCAGCTGCCCCTCCTCCTCCTCTCTCTCCCACTGCTTCAGCTGCCGCTGAGGGGGGGATAGAGTGGGTGAGGTTGGGGAGTGGCGTTAGCCGGGGGGGATGTGAGAAAAGGGTTTGGGGGCAATGGGGGGAGGTTGGAAGGAGGTAGCCGCTGTGTCGCCTACTGCTCCAGTAGTCCGGGGCCCTTGCTCCGGTAGCACGTGAGCCCGCTGCTCCAGTCCCCCGTGGGTCCGTTGCTCCAGCCGCTCGTCTAGCCGCGGAGCCAGTTGCTCCAGTAGTCCGGGGCCCTTGCTCCGGTAGCCAGTGTGCCAATTCCTCCATTGCCCGTGTGTCAGCAGCTTCACCTGCCGCCCCCCAACTCTTCTCGTCTCGTAGTCCCTCCTCCGCCTCACTGCCCCTCTGCTATGTCTGCCACTAGGGTTAATTTGTGAACTTGCTCTATGACTGCTTGTTGTGCTGATTATACCCCACTTTGCCTATGGGGGTGTGTCAGAATCTTATATTGTCTAGTCTGCAGTGGGGTACTCAGTAGTGAGTACAGCCCTGTTAGAGTTTCGTATTTGTATCCCCTCTGCCTGCTAGTGCAACCCCTCTTCTGCTGTTCCTATTCCTGTTCATTAGTTCTTGGTACATTCCCTTATTAACCGAATTACATTGCTACAGTAACCACGTCTATTGCCATTCTTGACAGTTATCACGTTGCATCTCGTAACTGCCTCGTGCGGTTACTGGTTAGTCAAGGGTCAAGACCGTTGACTGTCTTCGACTGTTGACCTTCGGGTGACCCTCGACCTTCCGCGTGCTCTATATGAGCTATTGCGGTACTGATACAGGCGTTTACTTCGTTATGAAGTGACGCGACAGTGGAGAGCCTTCGGGAATGCTTAAGGTAATCCTTCGGTTATTCCAACAACCTCTACGGTGGTACATCACCTTATTCGCTCCATCCTCCAAGAAAGGTGATTTCACTAAAACCTAAAGCAAGGGGGAGTGAATTGGAAAGCCGAATACAGTATTAACGGAGCTTCGGTAAAATCTACACCAAGGGGGAGTTTTAAGAAATATACAACATAAAGAAATATTTATGCTACCGTATTAGAATTTACCGTAGTCCTCTTTATAAGACCCCAGGGCCTAGAATAATTGTACAATTATTGTAGGGCCTGAATAATTAAAGTCTAGAGGTCTGAGGGCAGGGCCTCAGATTCCAGGAATTTTACCCTGATTTCCTGATGTTTGACCCCGGTTTTTTATTGTAACCCTGATGAATCAGCCTTTTTGTTTTTACTACCCTGATGAATCAGTGTTTTTCTTTTCCTAATCCTGATTTTCCAGTGTTTCTAGTTTGTCGACACTGACGAGTCAGTGTTGTATCGGAGACGACCCTGAAACCGAAAACTCCGTGATTCTCGCAGTTTTGCGCGCCGTCATCATGCATGAACCCACCCTGCACCGACGCCACCCTGCGGCGCGCCCAGATACAGTTGAACGGGTTAATTTCGGGCTGTGTTGACAAAACGGCGTAAAGAGATTGGCTGTCCCAGCTGAAGCAATGTACCGTTGTCACGTTGGATAACCTACACTTGTCATTACTTTCCATTGATGTGCACCAACAACCAAGCCTAGTGGCCCAGTGGGCCAGTGGTCTACCTTGTTCTTTCCACCAAGGCAGGGCGTGCTGGGGCGGCCCGCTCAGGCACCCCACGCAGGGGGTCTCGTGATTCTGCCATTCCAGCTCTCCAGACTCCATCCCTTTCCGAAACATCAATCTCTGCAGTCTCCCTGAAGCCTGCTCGGCAGGCTCTCTCTCTCCCAGGGTTTCTCGTTACTACTCACCGATTCAGGAAGGTGACGTGAACGCGCCATGGCGATCACCGGTGAGAACAGCTGCGGTGATGATGACGACGATGCACTTTACGCCGCCACCGAGATGCTGGAGGCCAGAACGGGACTAGATTTTCTAGTTTCCGCGCTCTCCCATGAAAAAGAGAAGCCAGGTCCCGTCGCCTCAGTAGCAAACACTGGTGAAGCGTCTGGCCTCTGCCGCGGAGACGATCGTCCCCAGCCCGCGCATACTGCTAAGCCGGCCGTGCCGTCAGCAGCCGGACCGAGCGTCCGCTTGCCATCTCGTGCGTCGTCGTCGAAGCCTCCGCCTCGTTACAAGCAGGCCGTGCTCCGTTGGGCCGATCCTACAGATCCTGGACGTCCTCTCGCTGATGCCGGCGAGTCGGTAAACCACGTTACGCCCACGCCATCTAACTCTAAAAAACCGTCACTAACCACTCTGATTTACGAAGAGGCCCTTGAAACGTTCAAGTCGACGTGGTCGACCGACTACCCATGGCTCATCCTCATAAAAAACACTGCTGGCATGCCTGCGTTCAAGTGCAGATTGTGCATCGACTTTGCAAGTGACGGTGGCAAGTGTGGCAAGAGTGGGCACGGTGCAACCGATCTTCAGACCCAAGCCTTCAAGCGGCATGCCGCGACGAACAAGCACCAGTTGGCCATCAATCACCAGAAGCAGATGCTAGCTCAGGCTGGGATGCGCGGCTGTCGGACCTCATGTGCATGGCATTGCTGCCGTACGAGCCCGACTGGGCGGAGGTGGTGAAGATCTGGAGGGCGTACAAGAAGCGCAAGCCCATCACAACAGTGGCAGCACCAAAGAAGCAACCTAGTGCTAAGGGGAAAGAGAAGGTGGACGAGGATGATGCTGGTGGTGCTGGCTCTGGGTGGGGGACAGACACCCCCGTGCACAGGCACGGTTCTATGAGCGATGGTGGTGGTAGTGACGAAGATGAAGACATGTGTGTGATGTGAATTGTGTGTGCGGTGTGAGCGCCAAGTGGTCTGTGCCTGTAGTTAGATTAGAAGCTCATTAGAACCATATTTGAACTTTTCTTAACTTATTATACTTGTGATACCGGTAGTTGTTGTGGATTCTCACCGCCAGTGTTTTTTTTAAACTCACGCTGATGTGTCAGGGTTTTTTTTTTTCTAACCCTGAGAAATCAGTGTTTCTCCATTTACAACCCTGATGATCAATGTTACAGCCCCAAAGGACCCTGAGTGCTCAGGGTCACCCAAAACGAATCTGAGGCCCTGTCTGGGGGTAGAATTCTTTCTTGATGGAGCTACCATTTTTGGTGCACCATTGGTGTGGATGGGGTCATTCTGAAGGGGGATTGCATAGGATAAATACCATGCTCTGTGCTGTGATTAATCCATTCCATTGCTCTCATTCTGCTTTCAAACATTTCAGTGCAAGCCTTTCAGCCTTACTCTTTCTACATTCTAGCTTCCGCAACGCTGGCATCATGTCTTTCTAGCACTTGGGACTACCGTCATCGCCCGGATATAAGACATATATGTCTTATCTCATACACTAAAAAAAATGCTTGGGTTATCTTGTATTTGGGGAGGTTTTGGGTGTCCTATAAGTCTTACAAATGGAAACTTTTTATAACTACTTAAAAATATTTTCACACATCTTGAAAATAGTTTCTCATTATGAGTGTGGATGTTGCAAAGGTGCCACTTCGGCAACCATTGTTCGGGGCGCCACGTCATGGAGAATACTTGCAGAGGCAAATTTGGTAGTACATGAGGCAGCATGTGGCAGAATTCGCGTGTCGCAAGGGTAAAAATGTACGCGGTACTTCAATTTTCACTAAAATATACTGCAGTTTCGATTATAAGACACATATGTCTTATCTCGTACACACAAATAGGTGTCTTATAATGAGGTTAGCCTGTTTATAAGAGACACCCGTGTAATAGACAACCCCTGTCTACTATTCAACACTGTCTTATATCCGGGTGATGACGGTAGTATATCAGCTCTAGTTTGCTTCATTTTTTCCAGTGTGGTCTGAAGAAGGCTACCGTATAAGCCGAAACTGGTTACCGCCAAAAATGTCTCTACAAGAGATTTCAAGCAAACCTTTTAACTAACAACATCAATTACAGTTGAATCAGTCGCTGCCACGTAAAGACATGGCTCATATCTGGGGCTCCATTGAAAAATAAGTTCTGGTAAAAAATATATTCATATATTGTTAGGCTATAGCGGGGCTAGCCTTAGGGGGTACAACTTCTAGAATTTCCAACTTGTACTCCCATCCTGTTAGTTCATATCATACCATTCCCGTTTGGTACGTTATTAACAGTGGCAACACCCCACCCCCCCTCCCCCCCTTCTCCCCTCTTCCCCCTTTCCCCACTCTTACCCCTCTCCGCTGCTGGGTTGGGAAGCCCCGCGCTTGCGTGCTAGGGGTGGAGGGAGAGGTGAGGGAGGGCTACCCCTTGGAGGGGGCGGCCATGTTCTGGTACACCCTCAGCTCGCCCATGAAGCTGCCCGCCACGATTACCAGCCCCAGTGCCGACGCCCTCTCTGCCGTGCCCTCGCCCCACTGCCACCCCCCTCCCTCGCCCCCTCCTCCCCCTGCCCCTCCTCCTGCCCCTCCCCCTGTGGCTGCGGCTCTGCCCTTGGGTGGTGTGGGTGCGGCAGCTGCTGCGGCGGCTGCCATCTGCTCTTTCCGTCTCGATGCTGCTGCTGCCGCTCCACCCGCTGCCTGTGCTGCTGCCTGTGCTGCAGCACCTGGTACAGTCTGCGTTGGCCCCTCTGTGCCTGCCACTGCTGCTGCCGCCGCTTCCAGCCCGTCGGCTGCACTGCTGCCGCCGCCCCCCAGCTCATCACTTGCCGCCCAGGAGGGGGAGAAAAGACGAAGAGGGCTTCGTGACGCCCCTGGGGCAGCAGAGTGCAGCGGGGGCTTGCTAGCGCCTGCTGCTGCTGCTGCGCCCCCATCTGCTGCTGCCACACTCCAACCTCCGTCCTGCACTGCCTGTCCCGAACCATCGCCAGGCGCAGCGCCTGCCCCGCCATCATCGATGGCGGCCACAGCAGCTTCAAATCGCTCCCTCAACGCCTTGTCCGCCTCGCCCGACCCCCCCAGGTCCGTGGACGTGCTGTGCTGCCCTGCACTGCCGCCCACGCTGGCACTCGTGGTGGGGCGGCTGGGATTACTGTCCCCATGGCTGCCCCGGCTGCTCTGCTCCCAGTCCGCGCCCGCCAATGTTGGTGAGGGAGAAGGCGCCACTGCTGCTGCTGTGAGGGCAGCCGTACCCCCGTAGAACAGCCCCACTGTGCTGCCGCCATTGCTGCTGGCAGCGGCAGGCGCTGCAGCAGTGGCAGGGGAAGGAGCAGCACCTGGGCGTGTCGTGAGGGTGGCAGCAGGAGAGGCGGAGCTGGTCCCCCGGGGGATGAGACGTGGCTGGTCAGGCAACAGGCCGGGCAGAGAGGCGCTGGCAGCACCACCTGAGGTCAGCGACGACTGGCCCACTCGCCGCCTCTCCACCCCCAGCGGCCACACTGCCACTGCACTGCTCACGCTCGGGCACGCAAAATACTCGTATGCCTTCTGCCGGTCATTCGGCTGTCCGGTTTTGGCAAGGAGCCCAGGCGGGTTGAAGAGGAAGATGGTGCCGTCCTCACTGGGCATCACGATGAAGTCACCACCCACACTGACAGCCGCCGCCAGGTGCGAGGCGGTGTTCTTGTGGCCCTGCAGCTTGCACTTGAGCTGCGCGCCCTGGTACAGCTGCAGGCGCGAGTCCGCCGCCGACACCAGCACGTGGGCGGACGACCCCGGCACCGCCTGGATGCCCGTGATCTTCTTCGGAGGAAGCTTCTTGGCCTTTGCGCCGCGCAGATCCACTGACTCGTCCAGACTCAGCTCGCCGTCAGCTGCCGGGCAGAGCATGTATGGGGAGAAACAGGTCAAGGAGTTGAACGAGTGCATGCAGTGAGAGGGGTGAGAGGGGTTACGGAAATGCAAAATTCTGGCAATGAGGATGGACAATTTGCATGAACGCCGTGGTCTCGTGTGTTCTCTCGTGTGCAGCATGATGTGGTTACCAGAGATGGAGTAGAAGCGGCAATTGCCGATGGCTGTCCCCACTGCTATGCCCTGTGAGAGAGCACGGCACCGCCACACAGAACAACACACCAGGGAGAGAATGGTTAGAGCTCCACATTCACACTAGGGCACAAAACAGTGCATCCATACGAGAGCGTTACAAAGCCTTCACAGCACGCTCCTCTCTGAGCACACAAAGCCTTCACACCACGCTCCTCTCTGAGCACACAAGGCTGTGGCAGCACGGGCGGGCGCACCTGGGCGTCAGGGGTGAAGGCACGCACCTGGGCGTCAGGGGTGAAGGCACGCACCTGGGCGTCAGGGGTGAAGGCACGCACCTGGGCGTCAGGGATGAAGGCACGCACCTGGGCGTCAGGGGTGAAGGCACGCACCTGGGCGTCAGGGGTGAAGGCATGCACCTGGGCGTCAGGGGTGAAGGCACGCACCTGGGCGTCAGGGGTGAAGGCACGCACCTGGGCGTCAGGGGTGAAGGCACGCACCTGGGCGTCAGGGGTGAAGGCACGCACCTGGGCGTCAGGGGTGAAGGCACGCACCTGGGCGTCAGGGGTGAAGGCACGCACCTGGGTGTCAGGGGTGAAGGCACGCACCTGGGCGTCAGGGGTGAAGGCACGCACCTGGGCGTCAGGGGTGAAGGCACGCACCTGGGCGTCAGGGGTGAAGGCACGCACCTGGGCGTCAGGGGTGAAGGCACGCACCTGGGCGTCAGGGGTGAAGGCACGCACCTGGGCGTCAGGGGTGAAGGCACGCACCTGGGCGTCAGGGGTGAAGGCACGCACCTGGGCGTCAGGGGTGAAGGCACGCACCTGGGCGTCAGGGGTGAAGGCACGCACCTGGGCGTCAGGGGTGAAGGCACGCACCTGGGCGTCAGGGGTGAAGGCACGCACCTGGGCGTCAGGGGTGAAGGCACGCACCTGGGCGTCAGGGGTGAAGGCACGCACCTGGGCGTCAGGGGTGAAGGCACGCACCTGGGCGTCAGGGGTGAAGGCACGCACCTGGGCGTCAGGGGTGAAGGCACGCACCTGGGCGTCAGGGGTGAAGGCACGCACCTGGACGTCAGGGGTGAAGGCACGCACCTGGGCGTCAGGGGTGAAGGCACGCACCTGGGCGTCAGGGGTGAAGGCACGCACCTGGGCGTCAGGGGTGAAGGCACGCACCTGGGCGTCAGGGGTGAAGGCACGCACCTGGGCGTCAGGGGTGAAGGCACGCACCTGGGCGTCAGGGGTGAAGGCACGCACCTGGCCATCAGGCATGAAGGCGGCGGCAGTGACCATCTCGCCCACGTCCACCCAGTCCAGCACGGCGCCCTGCGCTGCCGCCCACACGCGCACCCTCTCATCCAGCGCCCCCGTCAGAAACACATTCGCCTGCCGCGGGTGGAACGCCACCGCCGTCACTGTGGGGCAGGGGGTGCAAATACGTGTCCTTGCACGAGCATGGAACTCAAAACAAGAGATACAAGAATGGACAGTAACAGGCAGTTGCAATGCAAATTGCAAAAGCCCCCTATTCAGTTTGCACACGAAGCGGGCCCACGAATGCCGGCAGCTCGGCGCGATTTATGGTGGAACAGTGCACTTGCCTATGTCGGGGTGGGGGAAGACGCGCAGGCAGTGCGAGGAGCCGACATGCCACAAGCGCACCGTCCTGTCCGCTGATGCCGACACCAGCAGCGGGCGCTGCATTGGGAGGGGGGGGAGGAGACGGAGGGGCACACGTGCATGGGGACGGCGATGGGAGGTCTTGTATGCATGGATATGTGAACAGTGGGTCTGGCAAGGAGGGAGAGAAAAGAGGATCACTGAGGCAGGTGTTGAGGAGGGGCATGGGGAGGAGCATGGGAAAGGGCGTGGAGGAGGGGTGTGGGGAGGGGCGTGGGGAGGGGCGGCATGAGGGGCGGCATGAGAGGCGTGGGGAGGGGCGCACCCCGTTGGGCGCCCAGGCGAGGTCGAGCACGTCAGCAGAGTGGCCCGTGAAGCAGCACAGCGCCGCCTCCTGCAGCCGGAACAGCGCCACCGCCCGCCCCATGCTCGCCCCGCCACCCCCGCCTCCGCTGCCACTGCCACCCGCGCGGCCGCGTGGCGCTGCCTCTGGAGGTGCGTGGGGGGCGGCAGAGGAGGGGCGCAGCAGGGGGTGCATGGGGGAGGAGGGCACGGAGCGGAAGCCAGACGACAGCGACGCCGCGTGGGGGAGGGCAGGCGGGGCCATCTCCTCCGATGCGAATGCCGGCGTGCCATCCGACCGCTCCCGTGGGTACCCTCTCACCCGCACCTGCGCTTCCTCCCACCCCTTCACCGTCGCACCTCCTGTGCTCCCCCCCCCAACCTCCACCCCTCCACTGCCCCCTCCCCCACCCAGCCGCCCCCCACGCCGCTCCCACGTGCCCACCACCACCTCGTCCGCGGCGCCACTCCCCTCGCCCACCCCCCCTGGCGCCCCCTCCACCCGCCACACGCGCACGGCGCCGTCCTGCCCGCCCGTGGCGAGGTAGCGCCCGCAGCAGCTGAAGCGCGCCACCCACACGGCGCCGTCGTGCGCGCCGCGCACCTCCTGGCGCAGCCACAGGTCGGACAGCTGGCGGGCGGGCTTCCTCACAGCCGACACCTTCACCCTCACCGGCCCCACCGCAGGAGCGCCCAACGCCCCACCACCCCCGCCTGCTGCCGCCCCTGCTGCTGCTGTCTTCGCCGTGCCTGGCCCCGAGCCTGCTAGTCCGGATGAGGTTAGGCCCGAGCCTCCCAGAGGTCCGGCAGGTGGCTGGTCTGAGCGCTCCCCTGCCTGCACTGATGGCTCCCCCGGCCTCTCTCCCTCCCCCGACCATCCGCCCCCATCCCCGTTGCCCTCCCCCCCCACCGCTCCCCCTCCAACCCCCACACCGCCCTCTTTGTCCTCCCCCTGCCCCCCCTTACTCTTGCCGCCATCCTTGCCCTTCCCGCTGCCACTGCCACTACCACTGCCGTACCCAGCAGCACGGCGGATGGCCTTGAGCCACCCGCGCCCACGGCTCGACTTGGGCCGGCCCTGCCCGCCACCCTCCCCCCCATCCTCCACGCCGCCCCGCTCCTCCTTGCTGCCCTCTCCACCCTCCTCCCCGTCCATCCCCTCCTCGCTTCCCCCCACCCCTGCACTGGCCTTGCTCTTACCCGCCCTTCGCCCCCACCTGGACTTCTTCCCACTCTCCTCCGGTGACCCACTCTTGTCGCCACGCTGCCCCTCCCGCTCCCCCTCCCCGCCCCCTTTCCCCCCCACTTCCGCTTCCCTCTTCCCCCACGAAACCCCCTCCCTCTCTTCGTCTCCTTCCTCTTCCTCCTCGTCCTCCTCCTCCTCCTCTTCCTCATCCCCCTCCTCCTCCTCTCCCGCCTCCTCGATATCAGCGAACACCTCGCTGCGCGCCACATCGCCCTCATCATCATCATCTGTCAGCCCCAGGGTTTCCCGCCGAGCACTCACAAACCGCACCCCTTCACGGTACTCCGCGTCCGACCCCTCCTCACCACTCTCAACCGCACCCACCTCTCCGCCATCCCTCCCCTCCTTCTCCGCCTTCCCTTCCCTCTCACCGCCCTCCCTATCACTCCCCACGGCGCCTCTGTCCCGTGCACTGCTACTTGCTGCAGCACTCCCTTTCCCTTCCACTGCGCCCTCTGCTGGCCTCTCCTCGCCCTCGCCTGCACCCACCATGCCACCAGCTGCAGCGGCTGTGGGCGCCAGGGGGGTCTTCTTCTTGCGCCGCCGCTCCACCACCCTCTCCTCGCGCACCGCCTGCCGCACGGCCCTCAGAGCCAGCAGCGCTGCCACATTCTCCCCATCCGCCACGCCCTCAACCCCCGCACCGCCCACACTCCCCCCACCGGTGGACGCCCCCGCCTGCCCTCGCCCCCTCATTGCCTTCCCCCCAAAGCCCCACCGCACGCCCTCCGTGCCCATTGCCCCACCAGCGCCTTCCTCCCCCCCCCAGAGCAGCAGCGCTGGGTGCTCCACGAGGTATTCCTGGCCCGAGGCCGTGTCGCGCACGCGGATGGCACACGCCACCTCCAGCCGCCGCTCCTGCTCCTCCCCACCGCCCTCCCCCCCAACCTGAATGAACCCCACCACGCCCCACCCACCCTCTGCCCCCACCGCACCCGCGGCCCCTGACCCGGCAGCGCCCTCGCCCGCCCCCACGGCCACCTCAAGCCCGTCCAGCCCGGCTTTCCTCCGCGCCACCGCCGCTCTCTGCGCCGCCGCTGCTGCTGCCAGCGCTGCTGCCTGCGCCTCCGCTGCTGCTGCCTCGCGCGCCCACTCGCGCTCCCGTGCCTCGCGCTGCTGCACCAGACCCACGCCCCCCAGCAGCACGCCCCACGACCCCGCCCTCTCCCCCTCTCTGCCCCCGCCCCTCGATACACTCACATCCTCCGCCACGTCCGCCAGCCCCCCCACGCCCCTGCTGCGCGCGCCCTCATCGCCGCCCCCCGGGCTGCCCAGCCCTGCTGGCCCATCCGCCCCCACCGCTGTGGCGACGCGGCGCCGAAGGCGGGCAGAGCGAGGAGTGACGGAGGCCCTTACGTGGGGCGACACGGAGCGAGGCAGCTGCACCTGCATGCCCACCGCCACCCTCATGCCCCTCCCCGCCCCCCCTCCGCCTTGCACACCCCCCTGCGCGCCCCCCTGCTGCCACTGCTGAAACGTCGGCCTTCCGCCCCTCGCTGCTGCCTGCCCTTCCTCCACCCCGCTAGGAGCATCCTCATTATTGTGCGCTGAAAGCCCTTCAACAGCACTGCCACCAGCAGCGCCAGCAGCAGCAGCAGAGGGCGTGAGTTCAGGTGCCCCGTCCACTCCCTCTTGCCCCTCGCCCCGGCCCTCGTCTGTCTTCTCCGCCTCCGCCCTCCCCCCGTCCTCCGCCATCCACTCCGGCGCCACGCGCGCGCCTCCCCCCAACCCCACGAGGCGCGCGACGGTGCGCGCGAACTGCAGCAGCCCGGGCGGCACGCCACGCGCGCCTGCTGCTGTGAATGGCGCAGCCGCGCCGCCCGCAACGGCGCTAGTAGCGGGGTCGGGGGAGTGAGGGGACGGAGGCACGGCGCTGCTGGCCCCGTGCGCTGCTCCCGCGACTGCTGCTGCCCCGCCAGCACTCGCTTGTGCGTCCGCCTCTGCTCGCCGCTCCACCTCTTGCGCCTGCCGCACAACGACACGCAGAGATGCAAGGCACGACGCGGACAATGCTTGGGACGGACGGGTAGGAAGAGCGCGTGGCGAAACGACAAGTCGCAACTATCTGACCTGCTCGGACCTTCCCCGATCCCCTGCCACCGCGCATGCACCCGCGCGTTAGTCACCTTCTCGCACGCCACGCGCAGCTGGTGCCACATGCGCGCGCGCCGCTCCGCCACGGTATTAATCTCGAGCGGCTCGGTCCAAGGGTTGGGGTGGGCGCCCTCGTCCGCCGCCACGAGCTCGAGCACGGGCAGCGCCAGCTGCGCCGCCGGGGGCAGCGCGGACACCGGGTGCGCGCCGTCGTCGTCGGGGTCGCGCGCGTACGCGGGCTGCGCGAGCTCGGTGAACACCGCGGGACCCATCGGCACGTTCTTTCTGAATACGAGTGGCTAATAATAATAGGGTAAAGCCGCGTGAAGCTAGTAAATGGTAGAATGTCAGGTGCGTATTTCACAAGAAAAAAGAGAACAATGGGAAATCGGAAATTATGACTTCCAGAAATGTGATGTCGGAACAGGACGTCCGAAATAAAAACAACGCGATCCACAGCAGACGCGAAAGAGGTGAAGCTGACATATGAAAGGGGTGGGTCGTCGCCAGCGTAGTTTACGGGAGGGTCGTCACGACTCGTGTCATGAACTGACCTGAACCGACGCTCACCTCGTTCGGTTTTTGCACGATCGATCCTGCGCATGATCGAATGTTTACGGAGTTGAAAAGGGTTCCTAGTATTTCCAGTGTAACAAGTGGGTTTCAAGTACGGGTTCTATAATATCGATCGTGCAAAATCGGTAGAGGTAAGGAAGTGGTGAAAGTGCAAATATCGCAGGATTGTCTGCATAAATCGAGCCCCACAATCGAGTGGGCAGATAGATTGGCGAAACGTGGCGACCTCGACGTTGTAACGATCACACCTGAGAATTGACAGATCTCCCGCGATCAGTAATCAGTCGCATTCACACACCGTACATAAATCTTGGCCAAAAGCGTTCTGTTGTCAAACTCATTTACTGCTTATTGTGTAGGTTATAGTGGGGTAGCCCATATGGGGTACAACCCAATTAGGGTTTCCTACTTGTACCCATCTTGGTGCTAGTTCATCCATTCCTGCTCGTTAGTTTCAGACATGGTATCAGAGCAGTAGGCCTGTAGGACCGGGTTTTCCGGGCCCACCATTACCTAGTGACCGACTGCGGTTACTGCGTTACCCCACGCCCTGCCCTGCGCTGCGCCGTCAGCCTGAGGTCTGCCCTGCCCTTCCTTGCGTCGCGCTGCCCCGCGCACGCCCTGCCCTTCCCTGCGTCGCGCTGCCCTGTGCACGCCCTGCCCTGCCCAGCGTCGCGCTGCCCCGCGCACGCCCTGCCCTGCCCCGCGTCGCGCTGCCCCGCGCACGCCCTGCCCTGCCCCGCGCCCTGCTACCCTGCGCTGCGCGTCGTGCCCTGCTTCAGCCCGCGCGTCGCGCTCTGCTGCCCCGCGCGTCGCGCTC